GGGGGGGTCTTGGGTTGCGCCGACGTCGCGCTATGTGTAGTTAGGCATCATTTCAAGCCTCAAGTCATTTCGAATGGAATTCCCACAAGCTCCACCAGGTCCATCGAGCCCACCGCTAAGAACTCGCTCCGTCTCCAGGGGGCGACTGAGCGGCTTTCGAGGCTCGTTCTGAATATTCACGCAAATTTACGGACCTCGGGCTCCGTTTGGAAGGCGCGCGAGCAAACAACAACAAGAACAACGAGAAGAAGGCACGCACGCCCTGCAATGTTGAAGATGAACGGCGCTCACGCTAGCCGCAGCGGCTAACCCGAGGCGGCGGCGGCGGCGGCGGCGGCGCGGCTATCGGCGGCCTTCACGTGAATTTGCGCTAACGCGCGGCGACGCGAGGCGGCGAGTCGCAAAAGCCGAGCCGACGAGACGAGCGCGGAGGGGCCCGGACGAGACGGGGACGAGAAGACGCCCCCGGCCAGGCGCTCTAAACACTCCCTTTACCGCTCACTTAGATCACGTCGCCGCGCGCGCGCGCACGCGCACGCAGGCATCTGCTTTTAAGCGGCTTAATGGGAAGATTTAAAGACGTCGGCCTGCTCGCTGACAGCTGATTTAATGACTGCTAAAGAGCCCACGCCGGGGGAAGGCGCGCGGAGAAGGAAGGACGCGCGCACGACGAGCGGCTCGGCACGTGCGCAAACGCGCGCCGTCAACAACTTGACGGCGCGCGTTCGCCGCCGGCTCGGGAAACGGAATAGTCGGAGCGCTTCAGGCGCGCGCACGCGCCGTTTCAGTCAAAGGACGCCGCAGTGCTTGAAAAAGTCTGAAAGAGCTTCTTCTGCTCATATTCCTTGACGTTATTTTCGAATATGACGCCATTGCACATTTAAAATTGATGGATGCATTGATGGATGCATTGACCAATTCGGGTATGAAAGTTCCATTTCCCGCTTCGCGCACGCACGCACGCACGCACACACACACACGCACACACACGCACACACTGGGATTGATGCTGATGCGGCTTTTATGCAAAAGTCACAAGAACAGCAAGAGGTTTTTTTTTTCGGCTATTTGACCCAATAACGGCGATGTCATGATGATGCCAAGAATGTGGTTGATTTCGCCCCCCCCCTCCCATCCTGCTGGTAGTTTATCTTGTTTCCAAATATATTTGTGAAAAAAAATTTGTTGTCTTGTAATTTGTATTTAGGCGTGTGCATGTGCAAGCCTGTGTGTGCGCGCGCGCGTGCAAGTCTTGTCAAAGAGTGGAAGCACGCCGAGGGTGCGCCCCCTCCCCACCCCCATGGAATATTGATGTTGCCGCTGTTTACGTCTCCCGACTTTGATTTCTTTGCTTCCTAACGAGATGAGTGAGGGGGCGCATTGATGAATTCATTGCGACCACTTTGAGGAAGGCGTCAAGCTGCAGCTTGTTTTCGTATGGCTGACGATGGATTCATTTCAAGTGGACGCATACGCGCGCGCACACGCACACACACGCACACGCTAACTAACACGCGGACGCGCACGCCTCCAATATCCAAACACCGAACGGAACGCACGCCCATCTGGCCGTGCACGTTGATGCAAGCCTTGCGCTCGAAGACATCAGCGATGACATCATCTTTGGTTTTTTTTTTTTGTTTTTTTTTCGCTTTTTGCCGGTCAGAAGCGGGAAAGTTTGACAAATGGATTCTAACGAGCAAGCGAGCGACTTGTCCCTCCGAGGAAAATCAAACGTTCATGTCCAACTCGTTTGACTTTTTGGAGACACGAGCCGCCACTCGGCTGACCGTTTTTATTTTGGAGTTGAAAGCAAAAACATGATGTTTCGAGTTCAGCCAAAACACAGCGTGTGTCGCTTCCAGAAGTCCAAATCTTAATGCTAACGCACACTGAAAAACACCTCCGATGGGTTAAGGAAGCTAGCATTAGCATTGCTCTTGCTCTCCACAGGTTATGGTTGATAATTCCCCCCCCCCCCTTCTTTATCTTATCTGACATCCAGGTTTCAAACTTTTCAAGACTTGGAAAAAAAACAAAACAATTTCGATTTGAAACTTTTGTTGTAAAACCGCGAATGGAAAACCGAACCCTTGTTTGAAACCCTAATCCAGATTTGAAATTGTCCTTTGAAATCCAAATTGAAAGCACTAACCCTGTCACGAAAGCCTCATCATAAATTGCAACCCTAACCCTCTCTTGGAACCCGCAAAATATTTTGAAACCTTGACCCTTGTTGAGACCCGAAATTGGAATCCTGACTTGAATTTAAAGCCCCGATTTAAACCCGCATCCTTTTCTTTGTTGAAAACGCTAAAACAGCCTTGAAATTGTACTTTGAATAAAGATACGTCTTTTGAAACCTGAATCCCAATTTGAAACCCAGACCCTTCTTAGAAAGCTGAATTTGAAACCCTAATTTAGATGGGAAATCCTAATCAGAACCCATACAACCGTCCCTTGGAAAAAATAATCAAAAAACCCTCATCCAATCTTGAAACCGTAATCATAACTCAAAGCGCTCTTTGAAATAACGATTTAACACCCTACCCCGTGTTTGTAAACCAAATTTGAAAGAAATACCTCGGATGCCTAACCTTCCTTTAATGAAGGCTTTAAACCACAACTCGAAACATTTTCCCTGCCTTGAAACTGTCACTCTAATTTCAAACCCGAGCCTTTGATTTGAAATCCTATTTCAGGGTTCTTATTTCAAACAACCTTCACCGTGATTTGAAATCCCATTGCCAGGCTTGAAACCTTGACACCTTAACCCATGTTTGAAAGCGCACTTTGAAACCCGAATCAAGTTGCAAACCTGAATTTGAAAACCTAATCCTGGTTTGAAACCCTCAGGCTCATTTGAAACCCTGATCCTTGCGTGCAAACCTAATTCGAAACCCTAATTTGACACCCTATTTGAGATGAATTGAATTCGGCGATGGAATTGTAATTTAAAACGAGTACTCCGAATGATAACTGACTGGCAAAGGCGTAAGTTGAAACCCTAACCTTTAAAGTACGAGGCCATTAACTACTGGACCCCCGCCAATCGTCTCTCCAGCGTACGCACGATAAACGCCGCCGGCGATAAAGCGTAAAGAAGAAGCGCGTGCTAATCGATTCCGCAAATAAATCCATGCAAATTAAACGCCGCGTGTCAGAGCGTGCGGCTAATTAGCGGAGCGCGCGTGGGAGTGGGGGCGGGGGGTTAAGGCAGCGAGGGAGGGGGCGCGTTTAGCGCCCCGGGCTAGCGGCGAAGGCTAATGTGGCGCAAAAGTAGCGGAACGGAGCCGCGTGATGGCGTTGACGCTTTGGTGGCGCGGCGCCGCCGCGCGGAGCGACGTGCACTGCGCACGTGACCCCTGCAGACGTTTCCTTCGCGTCTCACGATGGGCAGATCTGATTTGAAACCCTAACCCTGTCTTACAACCATCATCTGAAGCCCGACCTTGGATTCAATCCCTAAAATGAAGCCCTCGCTCATGTTTGAAACGCCCATCTCAGTTTGAAAGCTTAACCCGGGCTTGAAAGCCTGACTGTCAAGCTTCATTTCAAATGCTCACGCTGTCTTGAAAGCCAGCCAGCCATTCTTTCAAACCGTAACCTTGGCTTCAAACCCTGAACCAGACTTGACAGCGTCACTTGAAACTTTAAACCCGGCCTGCAATCATCGTTTGAAACCCTAATCCTTCTTTGGATCCCTAACCCTGTCTTGAAAACCTCATTTTAAAACGTAACCCCTATTCATGCTGCCAAATCCAAATCCAAATTAAAAGGCCTAATTGAAGCAAGTCTTGAAAGCCTGACCGAAATCCCTCCCCTTTCCTAAAAGCCCAAATAGGAAGCGTTCGTTGCTACCCCAACCTTGTCTCGAAACCTTCATTTGAAGTTTGTAAGCTGAAGCCTTTTTTGAAAACCCCGACGATAGTTTGACACCTTATTTTGAAACCCGAACCACGTTTGCGGGCAGCAATAACTTTCAGTGGCGACTCGGTTTGAAAACCTACCCCCGGCTTGAAGCCTTCATTTGAAAGGCCGACTTTTGTTTGCGAGCCGAACCCTGACCCTGACTCTGGTATTTTCTGCGTTGCAGGCGGCTGCACCTTCGAGGACCCGTACAGCAGCTGCGGCTACGGCGTGTCGCTGGGAACCAGCGGCTTTACGTGGGAGCAGGACCGAAGCACGCGCACGGGTACGCCCGCTCCGGCCGGCCGGGTGAAGCGGCGCGCGCTTGTGCGCAAATCCCGCCAGCAACCAAAACGCCGATACGGAATTTGAAAGTCTGGCTTCCAACCTTCATTTCATACACTTGTCCTTTTATTCATTCAGGCTCCAAACTGTCATTTCAAACCCTGACATAGGCTTGAAACCCTCATTTGAAACCCCAGCCAGCCCTTCCTTGAAAACCCGCTTTCATCTGGAAAGTCTGCTTTGCACGAATCCCAATCCGTGGTGATAAAATGTCTTGAAAACCCTCATCCAATCTTGAAACCCGGCTACTAACCCTTGTGCCTTTGCGACCGAGCCAATTTGTGCTGGTGAACATCATAGCGGGTCCGCTGACATCATAACACATCCGCCGACATCAAAATGACCGCACGCACGCGGAGCGTTGGGAATGGACCGGTGCGACGGCGGTGTTTTTGTGGGCGCGCCGTGGGCGGAGGCTGAAGGCCCGCCGGGCTGTGGGCCGCTGATTGGAGAGCTCTCGTCTCGCGAGGCGACGACTTGATTGCAAGGCTGATTGGTGGGCGTGGGCGCTTGGCAAAGCCTTGCTTTTTTTTCTTTCTTTTCCATGAGATTTTTTTTTTTCAAGCTACACGTGACGGGTTGCGTGTGTTGCCTTTTTTCTCACTTGCGTCAACAGATCATCATAGAACATTTTGCAAGGTTTTTTTTTTTTTTTCACGTAGCAAAGTTTTGAAGCGCAAACACAAATTTAGCAGTGGAAAAAAATGTCAAATTTCAAGGTCACGTGAAGGTCACATTTGTCAGGAACACAACATCCACAAGTTTCTCCACAATTTTTAGCCGATTGTCTCTGAAATTGGTGGCCGCAATTGAGGCAGAAATCTTATTTCATTGCAATTTTTGGGAGCAATTGACTTCAATATTAAGGCGCTCGCCAAGGGTTAAAGTTCACCGTGTCAAAAATGTCATTGCAGGAAACGCCATGGTGTCAAACCTGAAATGACGGCGACTTTCTCAAACTGCAACCGTTTTGGAGCTAACCACTGGGCCACCGGGCTGCCCGTTTGTTGGCTTATTGAATAGAAATATCGGGTTTTTTTGGACGGCGGGGTTTGCTTGACGTACAATGTACAAATTCGCATTCTGACAAACCAGATCAAGTCTTACCTCAAATGAAGTCACGGGCTCAGGGCACAGTCTGGAGATTTGTACTTATTTTGTCCTCATGCACTCACGCGTCGCCATGTCGAACATAAATGGGCTTTTTTTGGGGCTCGGAAATGTCACCGTTGGCCTTGGATGTCGGGACGGCTCTCTCGCGGTTTCTTCGTCAGCTTTCAGCAAACGCTTAACACAACAGCGCCTCGCCTTTGACGGGGAATGAAATGCACGCGAAGAGACTCGCTGGAAGACTTGTTCTTTCTTTGGGGAGGAGCGGCGGCGGATTTGGAAAAGACTCGCTCGCGGGCGGAGAGGCGGCGGGCGCGCAGCTGTCAGGCGAACGCTTTGAGCTCTCGGTCGGAGTGGCGCTCGCGCAGATAGAGCCGTCAGCCGAGAGCGCCGAGAGCGCGCCGCCGCCGCCGCCGAGTCCCAGCGCCGCTCTTGACGACCTTCGCCTGCCCTCAGCTAACTTTTTGAAAATCAGAAAAACAAGCAAGCGCAACAGAGAATGTGTCGCGAAATGTTTCAGAGGGACGCGCCACGGCTTTTATCGGCTCTGCAAGACGATTTGGGTTGGAAATGAACGGGATGCCGTCATAAACAACAGATTTTCGACGGGCCCTTTTCTCATCAATATTCAAAAACATTGTCAATAAGCTCCGATTGTGTCTCTGTTGTCCTTAATTGGACGTAGGAAACAGATTTGCTTGTTTCCCAATTTGTGGGTGTCTCTTCATGGGTTTGCCCGGTTGAAATTTAGCGGGGCGTCTGCTGATTTTGCGGCCGGCCGCGGCGCACCTCGAGGCGGCCCCGGCAGGGCGATGGCGCGAGGAAAAGTTTTCCATCCCCAAACGGTGGAAGAAAATTGGATGATGAGGGTGATAAAAAACATTCTCAAAGAAATTTGGAGCCATCGTCAAACCTAACATGCATGTTGTTTCATGAACATCAAAACCAGCATTCTCACCGTGGCTATATAGTTGGGAGTGTGTGTGAGAAATGCTCTCAGACGGAATCGGTAAAAAAAAAAAAAAAAGAAAAAAAAAAGAAAAGCAAAGCAGACAGTGGCAGAGCATCCATCAGGGGGAGCAATAAAGGAGCATTTTTAAGAGGCAGGCAGCGTATAAAAGCCGGCGCGCTGGAGTAATGGCTCCCGCGGGCCCTGGATAACTCGCGCTTTTTATTTGGCCATCTCAGAGCCGCGCCAATAATGGCGCAAAATGACGCGGCGGCCACTGCCGCCACCACGACCTGCCGACGCGACAACAAAGAGGCGACTTTGCTTTTTCCTTCTCCTTCATTTGCAGTTAGTGGACCTGATGATGATGATGATGATGATGATGATGCGGTGCGGGTTTTCATTACGCCATCCGACTGGACTGGACCCCCCCAAGCCTACCCGTGTTGAGCCTTTGCGTGTGTGCCTCTTGATGGCAGCGGGATAGTCCCAAAAGTCATTTCCACCTTCAGGGAAATAGAAACCAAAGAGCGTCTTGGACTGGAAAACCGGACCGTTAGAGCCAACGTTGCCAGTTTTCACAAACATCAAAGACAATTTGGAGTTGACACAGCGATTTTCAACAGCACAAACAATGAAGTCATCAATGAACCTGATAATCATTGGCAAATATCAAAGAAACTCCTTCGCAACTTAAGAAGCCATCGAAGACAATTTTGTGTTGTTAGCAAAACTAACCAGACTTGTTTTTAACATTAAAGTCATCAAGGAACACTACATACACCTTTTGGCAATCGTCAAAGACCACTTTGAGGTGTCAACTAAAATAACAGATGCCTTTTTTGAGCGCAGTGGACAAAGACAATGAATGAATGGAGTCCAAAATTGGAGACGGTTCTTGTTTTGAAAACTATCGGTGCTAGTTAGCAGCTAGAGTTAGCATTCTTTCAGTACAAGCTAATGATGTCATCTTTGATGGACATCTTTCCCTTTTTTGGGGGTTTTCCCCCTGAAATAATTTTTTCTTCTTCATAGTTTTGACAGTCTCTGCTCTTTTGCTTATCAACTCGGACACAAACTGTTGGATTTTGTTGCGTCAGGCTGCTGAAGATTTTTTTCTTCCCCCTTTGTCTTTTTTCTCTCGTCTGCTGACAGCCGGCATTGAGACGCATAAATTATCCATGTGCCGTGTTGCCATCACAAGCGCCAGCACAAAGTCAAAATCTTGTGTCGCCGCTGAGTCCTGCGGGTGCTAAAGAGACGCCTTTTACATCTCTCAAGAAGAACAAGAACCACGGGAAGATGAAAAACAAGAAGAAGGTGGCACTCGCCTTGCTCATTTTTGATGCTCAAGTTAGAAAAAAAACACGTTGCTAAAGTTTGCGGAGTTTGACCCGGTTCCTTCAAAGAGTCGCAACGTTTGGAAAATCTCTCTTAAAAAAAATCATCTTTGACGTGATCCTTGCTCTGTTTTGTCATCTGCGGGCCTGTGCCTTTTCAAGGGACATTGAAAGTAACACAAAATGGCTGCTTCAAACCAAAATGGCCGACTTGCTGTCCGTTTTTTCAAGTGTGGTTCCTTGAAACTTTTCTGTGTCTGCTTAGGATTGACATGCCCACCCAATTTCACGTTGATGGGTGAAACCGCTGTTGAGGTTTGTTGTTGTTGTTTTTTTTTTTTTTTTGTCTTCAACTTGGCAGGAGGCGCAATCGAGCTTTTTTCAAATCCAAGTGGCCGACTTCTTGTTGAATTCCCGGCATGATTCCTTGTGACGTTTTTGTGAGGCCTCCTTTGATTTCATATTGATTGATAAAATTGGTGTCAGGTTATTGGTGGTTGAAGACGATTCGGTTTTCAATCAAAACTTTCGAGTTTTTTTGATGCCTCGGATGACGAACAAATTTCGGTTCTCGAACAAACTGAGCGCACTTGAATGCACCATTTGACTCCTCTCGGCTTCCTTACACGAGGAAGTGACGCTTCCTCGTGTTGCTTTCCATTGTGAGCAGACGTGTTCAGGAAACATTTTTATTTTAAAAAGAGCGCGGTTTCGGTTTTCGAACAATTTAGGTTTTCGAACTATATATACACACACACACACACACACACACACTATCCATCCATCCATCCATCGAGCATTCACAGTTCCATTTTTTGCATTCACCTTTTCATTTGCCATATTGTTTTTGCCTTTATTTGTTTTTATAGTCCCTGGCCCTTTCATTCCAATTGATTAAATCTTTAATCAGTTTTTATCTCCACACGCACGCGCACACACACACACACACACACACACACCAGCACGCGCACGTGCGTAATGATTGAGGATGTGGTGAAGATGGAGTAGCGTGTAAATCTGGCGCTAGCCTGTGGCGGCGTTCCCGAGAGCAGACCGGTGTCGTAAAACACCTTCAAACACACTCGACGGGCAGAAGGTTTTTTTATGTGGCGGCTGCCGGTCCTCGGGGAGGGCAAGTGCGAGCACGCGCGCACACACACACACACACACGCACACGTGCGCACACTCGCACACAACGGAATGACCGTGACAATCTTGAATGTGTTCTAATCCGAGACAAAGAAAACATTTGTGCCTCATGACTCCTACTGCACAGCTTCACGTTGACTTTGTAATGCAAAGAATCACATTTGGCCCATAATATCATAAAACTGTATTTATTATAGCGCACGGCCAACGTATACCTGCAATCGGTAGAAGTGCAGAAGAGCAGCGGCAAAGAACAATAATAGGCAGGAAAACAACACATCGGGGCGCAGCGGTGCAGTCCACCAATGGCTGCTTTGGAAATGGAATGGGAGCTGGCGTTACCAGTGAACGTGTTCATGGAGTCAATGAATTGAAATGACACATGTTGCCATCGGCGAAGGAATCCAAGTTTCAACAGAACATATTTTCTGCGTCGTAAATTATTAGACGATCACGATAAATGGCTTGGGTGCACGAAGGGAAAAACAATCGGCCCCCAAAACATTTTTGGAACCGATGTTTGAATGGCTGCCATCGTCTGATTTAATTGGCCAGCTGATTGATTGGATGGGCCCCAGTAAGGATGTCGAATCAGTAAATGAGTAACGCATGTCTTCAAGAAGTAAAAAGAAGCAGCGTATCTTGAAAGGAAACATACGTACGACTCTACAATTGAAGCGTCTTTTTGTCTGCCGTGTTCTCATGCGGGCCACCAGGCGGCATGATGGCGGTGAACGCGTCGGGGCGGGCGTCGGGTCAGCGCGCGCACCTCTACATGCCCAAGCTGAAGGAAAACGACACCCACTGCATCGACTTCCTCTACTCCATCTCGGGCCGCGACGGCGCCAGCCCCGGCACCCTCAACGTCTACATCAAGGTCAGTCCACGTGCGCGCGAGCGCGAGTCGCCCGCGAGTGCGTCGGCGTGAGCGACGTGAGCTAAGGTGGCCGTCCGAAGCGGAGTGCTGTGAAAGAAAACGCGTCGAGTTGTGAAGTACGTCAAATGTGTTCAGGTGAACGGCGGCGCTCAGAGCAACCCCGTGTGGAACGTCAGTGACTCCGTGACCGACGGATGGCTCAAGGCCGAGCTCGCCGTTTCCACCTTCTGGCCCAACTCCTATCAGGTGACTCGCGCGCATGCGAAACACGCAGGCACACACCCGGACTTTAACGCGCGGACACACGCTTCTTTGCCGTCCAAGTTGTTGGTATTCAAGCCGAGCGGTCGCTGTGCTGACAAGTCCTGGCCTGTGTGTGTGTGTGTGTGTGTGTGTGTGTGTGTGTGTGTGTGCGCGTGCGTGCGTGCGCGTGAGCGTGCATATGTGTACGTGCGGGTCAGCAGTGCACGGCGGGGCTGGCAGCCTGTCACTCTGCTGAATGTTAAAAAGGACGTCAAACGTGAGGAAAGCTTTGACTTGGTGCGACTGGATGTTAGGTTGGAAGAGGCAAATAAATCCAACACAGTGCTTCAAGTAACATTCAAGTATGACGACCATTGATCAAAGTGATTAAAAAAAAAAAAAATTTGAATGTATGTATATATACATTCGAATTTTTTTGTATTATATATATATATATATATATATATATATATATATATGTGTGTGTGTGTGTGTGTAATTTTTTTTTCCGGGATGTCCCAATGCCAATTACGTCATTATCAACGAATCTTAATCTGGGGAAAAGATCAGGTTTTTAAAAATGTGTACTTTATTTTTTATTTTTTTTCAGGGTTACAAAGCAACAAAATAATCCGGAGGCGTAAGCCTATAGTATGTGACCAAAAGTCAAATATTTGAACATGGAAAGCAGAGATTGCGCAACAGCGACTTGCAATGTGTGTGCAAATTGAGCAAGCAGGATGGAGCGACGTCAACTTCAAATGTCACTTGAAAAACTGATGTTAAAAAAACAAAACAAAACATTGGATGTGCACTTTTTTTCTCCTTCATACATTGCCGAGGTGTCGGATTCGGGACTCCTTCAGCTTCATCAGCTCGAAGCCTCTTTCAACTCAGTTTTACGCGAATCTCAAAGCAAAAAGTGTCGAGATGACGGCGCGTATCTTGAAATGCTCCCAAGTCGGCTCGCTGGCCTCTCAAGGCGCCGCTGTCATGACCAATGCGAACCAGGAGAAATGATGAGACACAACCAGCTTCAGACACACACACACACACACACACACACACACACACACACACACACACACACTTGCTCTCATCAAAAATGTGTGTGTGTGTGTGTGTGTGTGTGTGTGTGTTTACATGTGCATGCGTGCCTTGCACTCATCTGTTTCAGTTTTCTCGCTCGTCATCTTCCTCTCCCTCCTCTTCCTCTCCAGGTAATATTTGAAGCCGTTTCCGTCCAGGGCCACCCGGGAGTCATCGCCGTTGACGACATTCGAGTTCTGGCTCATCCCTGCCGTAAGTGACCGCCTGTGCATGCGCGTGCGTGCGTGCGTGCGTGCGTGTGTGTGTGTGTGTGTGTGTGTGTGTGTGTGTGTGTGTGTGTGTGTGTGTGTGTGTGTGTGTGCAAGCAGATGATACTCAGTGGGGCCACACAGTTGTGCAGGGTCAGCTATTACAACACGCACACACGCATGGATGCACACACACACACACACACACACACACAGATTGCAAGGCTTGTAGACAGATTGCATCGAGGCAGGAAGAAGGTCCTAACTCAGGGTCTTCATCGCTCACATTTGACAAGAAACTCGCCGGCAACAAAGTGGAAGCAGCGGACCTCTAATGTACCATAATTACGCCATATTGAATACATACGTGCCTCTATTGTACCATATTGTACATCATCTATACACCGCTGCCGTGGCGTATTTTCATCGTATTTAATATTTTCATTTCAATTCAAGTCACATATTGATCACATTTCGGGTCTAATGGAACATGTTCACCTCTAATGTCGCCGATGTGCATCCTCATGAGTGCGTACTTCTCTCATTTAGCATCGTGACATCATATTTCATGTGTACACATGTTTATCGAAGGCCATTGACATCACATTTGGTGTGCCATATTTCCATGACATTTCATGTTTTGTACAGTGATATCCAATTTAAAGTCTGTCCACCTCAGATTGAATGATGCGCTTCATAGTTCACGTGTACAGCGCTAAATGAGCATATTGAGTTCAGATCGAACATCGCACATCTTACTCAATGTTGTACGCACCTCTCATGTTGGTCATACTTTGTGTCTACTTGTGTCATGCATCTTACTTGCAGTCCGCCATCTGGAATGTTCCGCGCGCCGCTCATGACCGTCGCTGCAATCCGACGCGCGGACGGATGACGGTGGCCAATTTCCCTCCGCTTTGATGTCATTGAGCACGTTTGTTTTTTTGCGCTTTCAGGAAAGGCGCCTCACTTCCTGCGTCTTCAGAACGTGGAGGTCAACGTGGGTCAAAATGCCTCCTTCCAGTGTACGGCGGGGGGCAAGTGGTCTCAACACGATCAACTCTGGCTGCAGGTCCGCACGTCTGGCTTGTCACCAACTTGTTCTTTTTATTGAGTTATTTCTTTTCAAGGAGATACAGTGACATATTTCCTAATAACGTAACAAAAGCCTGAAAAATAAGCACGGCGTTCCAAACATGTCAAATCCGGGACAAAATTAAATCAACGAAAAGCAAAGAATAAAATAACAATTTACAAAAAAAAAAAATATATATAAAAGTTTTGAGAAAAAATGTTTTCACGTTTATTAATGATTCTGAAAAGATTGATGTAGAATATTTCAAAGAAGCAGAACAATAAAAGAACAAGAATACAAAAACCTCTTGGCCCTGATGATTGTTATTGTAGGAAATTTAATAACTGATGAGAGTATAAAAATCATGAATGAATTTTCCTATAAAATGCTATCTAAGGAGAATCCACACAATGATTATTACATTGGATGTACAGGGTGACCCAAAAAGATGCGTACCCATGAACATTTCAATTGTGACTTTGATTAAAAAGCTATTTATTTCAAATTACAACCACACATTATTCAGTTTATGGAAGACCATTCACCAGAGTTTCAGCTATTTCTGTCAATTTTTAGTCAATTTATGGCTTTTCCAAGATGTGTTCCAAATGTCCACCATTCCGTTGCAAGCAAACTTGTACTCGTCTGACAAAGTTGTCAATCACTTTTACACACTCCTCTTTCGGGATGGCTCTTATTTTAGCTGAAAACGATCATCCATAGGTTCACCTTTCACGTCCTGCAACAGAAAAGACATTCGTTCAAAAATGGATTTTTTATCGAATAAAATATGGGTACGCATCTTTTTGGGTCACCCTGTACATGTGTCAGATGGTGACGGCAGCGTGCTTGCTGTCCAAAAGCGTCCCGGTGTGCGTGACTTTTGGCATTTGCTACGTTAGCTTTGCTCGCTAAGGCGGCTAACCCGCGCGCGCTTGTGCCGTGCGCAGCAGTGGAACGGCAAAGACACGGCCCTGATGGTGACGCGGGTGGTCAACCACCGCCGCTTCTCGTCCACCGTCAGCGTGGGCGACACGTCGCAGCGCGGCACCGCTCGCTACCGATGCGTCATCCGCACCGACGGGGGCTCCGGGGTCTCCAACTACGCCGACCTCATCGTCAAAGGTAAGACCGCTTCCTTTTCTTACGCCCTTTTGGAACATTTCAAACACGTCTTCCTCACGTAGCCACCGTCAAAAAAAGGACCCTCCGTCTCCTCCACAGTCTCTACTTGGCTGCCGTGCTCCATTTTTTTTGGGCTTGCCCTAAGTCTCACCTCACCTGCTTTTTTTTTCTTGCCCTTTGTCCAATCTCAGGATCAAATTTGTCGTTGTACCGCGGTGGTCCAAAGACAAATTGCTCTTAGCGCTCTCAGTGTCCACTTGACTGCGGCAATCCATTTTCTGGTTGGTCCTCAGTCTCCTCTCTGGATAAAACATACCTGCGCCCTTTTTTTTTTTTTTTGTGGACCTGAGTGTCATCTCAGGATAAAATTTGGTTCCATTATCCATTCCTCCATTTTCCAATCCGCTTATCCTCACAAGGGCCGCGGGGGGCGCCGGAGCTTATCCCAGCTGTCTTCGGCAGTAGGCGGGGACACCCTGAACCGGTTGCCAGCCAGTCGCAGGGCACACAGAGACCAACAACCATCTGCGCTCACACTCACACCGCGGGACAATTTGGAGCGTTCAATCCGCCTGCCATGCGTGTTTTTGGAATGTGGGAGGAAACCCGAGTACCCGGAGAAAACCCACGCTGGCACGGGGAGAACACGCAAACTCCACACAGGGAGGCCGGAGCTGGAATTGAACCCGGTACCTCTGCACTGTGAGGTCGACGCGCGAACCGCCAGACCACCGGGCCGCCCTGCTTCCGTTCTATAAAATGTTTTCTTTTTTGTGGGGGAGTCTGCGACGGATGAATGGCATTTGGCGTCATTTTGTTGGGGAAGGACGATTGGAGCTTTGGCTTTTTTGGAGTTGATGAATGATTCATCGATTCTTCTAAAAGTTGCGGATAGTTGTTACTGTTGCACCGCGAAGACATTTTCCAGCCCTCTGCAACCCGAGCTTGAAGTTCAGCGTCTTTCGCTCAGGGACATTTCCAAAATAGATAACAAAAGGTCTGTTTGGTTGTTTAATTTCCCCCCTGCCGTGTTCGCAGGCACTCCAACGCACAACCTTTTGTGTACAACCCATCAAATAGTCCATTTGACGTAATATATTCCCTCGAACGCATGCGGAGAGGCTGTCGTCAAATAAAAAGGCCTGAAATGTCATCTCCTGGCTGCTCAATAAAGCAGGAAGCGAATCTTGCCAACAGGAAGCATCCTGCCGAGCGACTTATTGATGCGGCGAGGAGGTCGCGGGCTCATAATGTGGTTGCGCGGCCGCTGATGGAATTACGGCGGCGCGACCATCGCTCGCAGTCGGCCGTAATGACGTCCCGTGTCCCGCCCCCTCCCGCCTCGCTCCTCTCTCATGCCGAGCCTCCGTCTTGACACTTTGCCTCCGAGCAGGAAAATCAGCCTCCGGCCAGGCGGCGGCGCCTCAACCAAACAAGCCAATCATCGTTGTCAACCTTTTCCTTCCAATTTGTTCTTTTGCGCCCAGAGTCGAAACGTGACGTTCCGTCTCAGGCGGCGGCCGTTTTGTCTTGCGCTCGCCACTCGCCGCCGACTGAAAAATGACATCCCCGTGTGGGGCCGGCTCAGCTTACCGACGTCACATGACCAAAGCCGGGAAAGAGGCGAGCCGTCACCTGAGCCCACCTGGCGCCGGGATGTCATTTTAAGTCGACGAGAAGTGGCCGTACAAAATGGCCGCCTCCCGAGCTGGATCGAAACGGCCCCATTCTTGTGCTTCGTTCATGGACCAAAAAGTCAATATTCATCATCGTACCGCCTTTGGACGCATTGGGGCGCATATCATTGTCGAGAAAGTGTTTGACTTGACTTTCCCTTTTTCATGGTGAATGCCAAAATGGCTCCTTGGGACTTGGCAGCATGTCATTGGTCTATCAGGAGTAACCCCCCCCCCCCCAAAAAAAAATGTCTCGGCTGCCATTTTCGGCTCCTTTTGTCTATTTCCAGGTGCCCCTCAAAGACGAGATTTTTTTTCGGATCGCTACCAAATTTGAAACGCGGACGCGAGACAGATGGACGACGCTCAACTGTCGAGCATTTGAGCTTCGGCTTTTGCGTGTGGGCGGAGCGTGGCCTCACTGATGTCATGAAAAAGGAAATGCATTACTGTTCAACCGTGTTCTGTTCTAGCTGCAGATTTGCTTTGAATGACGTCTTTAACCATGTCATAGTCACAAAAGATGTTGGAATTCGGAGGCAAGTTGGAGTGTGTGAGCATGTGGGTGCGTGCGTGCGTGTGTGTGTGTGTATGCGTGTGTCTGCTTTCGTGTGTCTACACGCATGTGTACCCGCGAGCGTGTCACGTTCTGATGAGTTCAGGGACCCAAACTGTCATTACCATCTGTTAGCACGACACACACTCATGCACTGTGTGTGTATGTTTTAGTGTGTGTGTGTGTGTGTGTGTGTGTGTGTGTGTGTGTGTGTGTGTGTGTAGGTGTGTGTGTGTGTGTGTGTGCGCGCGCGTGTGTGTGCCCGGCGAAGCTCAGGTGTTGTTAGCCATGCGTTGTGCCAGGGGAAATAGTCCATGATGCCATCAGTGAACAATATCGCACAAATGCACCCACCCTCTTCAAGCCTCTCGCATATTTGTGTGTGTGTGTGTGTGTGTGTGTGTGTGTGTGCGTGTGTGCGTGTGTGCGTGCGCGCGTGCATGTCTGCATGCATGTGGACGCGCTGCTAAATCTGGCTCTTCTGTTATCATCCCTCTGGCAACATTTGTGTGTGTTTTTTTTTTTTCAGATTCCGATGCTAACTTTAGTTTTTTGAGATGTATGCACCTGTGTGTGTCCTTAAGCATTAAAATCATTGTGTGTGTGTGTGTGTGTGTGTGTGTGTGTGTGTGTGTGTGTGTGTGTGTGTGTGTGTGTTTCCATTTGTCCTCCTGTGTGAAATCAGGGTTAATTAGTCTTTAGAGCACTCAGGTGTGACCAAGAGGCTAGCTACATGTGTGCGCGCGCGCGCGCGTGTGTGCAAGTGGGAGTTCCACGTTCCGGCCTTGCAAATATATGGAGCATGATCACATTCTGTTTTTGTTCTCGAATGAATTTGAACTTTGGAAACTGCATCGTTGTCGGGGTTGCCAAAGACTCCCAATCAACTCACGGAGCAGAAAATGACCTCGATGTGGACACTTTAAAGTCCGGTCGAAGTTTTCCCGTTTCTTTTGAGGCATCGGCTCCTGACGCAAGACTTAGGACGTCTCAAGATAGACACGTCAACCGAATTTGACATTGCCGAGTCCAAGCGGCTTCAAGCGCGGAGTTTTTCAAAACATTCAATTAGGATCCAACAGCTGTCGTCAAATTTGCAGCGATGCTTTGAGGGCTGAATCTTCAAAACAAAATCCAGGTGATTGTAACAAGAAATGGCATGCTGTAGAAGCGTGTCTTGAGACCTTTTTGTTGTTGTTGTTGTTGTTGTCTATCTACTCACGATAGGCATGTCTATACTGAACATTATGTTTCCAAGTTAAACTGGCATTCGGGACTACATTTTTTCAAAATCCAGTTGCGCACAACTGAGTCGGCCGAAGCTAAAACGTGCTTCAAACCAAGAAGGCGGACTTGTGCTTTTTTTGGCCCTGGCTTATTGAGAGTTTTTTTGTGGGTTCGCACAGCAAAGACATGCCAATCAAATTTCATATTGCTAAGTGAGACTGACGTTGGAGGCTCAATTCGAAAAAAAAACGATTTTACCCTAAAATGGCAACCATCAGAAGCTAAATTACACACCGTCTGGCCTTGAGACTTTTTTGTGGGTCTTGTCATGATAAACATATCGACCAAATATTACTCAGATTGGTATCACCAACATTTTTTGTTCAATCAGTTGGGCGCAACTAAGCACATTTTGCCTAAAATGTCTGGTTTGCACCAACATGTCTTCCTGTTTCTTTTGGGGCATGGTCTGTTTTTGGTGGGTCCACTCATGAGAAACATGTCTACTGAATTTCATGCTTTTGCAGTCAGTTTTTTTTTTGAACTCTAGTTTTGCAGAAATGAACAATTGAACCTTTTAGACCAAAATTGGCTGACTTCCTTTGTCTTTTGGAAATTGGCTTTTGGAGTCTACCAGTTATCTTATTCCCATCTCAAACTGGCTTTGGGAGCTGTATTTTTTGGTGAAATCCAGCTGGGTGCAACTCGGCCAATTTAGCCGAAAATGTCCAGTTTATACCAAAATGGTGGACTTCCCGTGTCTTTTGGGACATGGTTTTTGAGGCTTTTTTGTTGTTGTTCTACTCATAATAAACAGGTCGACCAAGTTTCATATTGCAAGGTGAAATTGGTTTTTGGGGCTGCAAAATTGTTTTTCTCTTTTCAAACCAGCTTGGCACAACTGAGCAATTGAACCTTAAATGTCCGGTTAGGACCAAAATGGCTGACTTCCTGTTTCTTTTGGGTCATGGCTTCCTGAGACTTTTTTTTTTTTTTTTTGGTCTGTCCTGACGTGATCGTGTGCTTTTCCATTTCGTGTGGCTCAGTCAAACTGGCTGCAGGGGCTGAATTTTCAAATATTTGGCAGTGTTGTGTCGATGCATCACCGTGTGTGGTTTGTGTCGTCCTGCTTTTGTTGTGTCGATGTGTGTGTGTGTGTGTGTGTGTGTGTGTGTGTGTGTGTGTGTGTGTGTGTGTGTGTGGTCTGTCCGTCAGAGATAAGACTCGGTAGGGTGGAGCTTAGATACACAACTGCCAATCAAAACCAGTGGAAGTGCGTGTGTGTGTGTGTGTGTGTGTGTGTGTGTGTGTGTGTGTGTGTGCATGTGCTTGTGTGTGTCACTCTCCAGACACTCCTGGTGGTCTTGAAACTGATTGTGGTCCCAAAATAAAATCCCGTGTGTGTGTGTGTGTGTGTGTGTGTGTGTGTGTGTGTGTGTGTGTGTGTGTGTGTTGCTTTGCCCACATACGTCTTCTATATATTTGTCCACATGATAAAAATCAATCGACGCGTGGACAGTACTGGTTCTGTGGAGGCCCGATGGGCTCTGCAGTCCGCCCACAGTCCTCCTTTAGAAGCCCGCACAGCAGCGCCACCACGTGTCCACTCTTAACAACAACAACAGCGGCTAGAGAGCAACTAGTGTGGAAATTGTGAGTGGAAGGAGGAAATAAATATGTCGGACGTCCGCATTGATGTTGCAATCCTGTCTTGCGGAATCATAAGAAATGGGGCGGAATGGTTTGAATTGGTCAAGAGATGTGGAAGGAAGACGTCAATATATCAAATGTGTCTTTGGGATTTTTGGGAACGTGAGAAATAATTGACTCTCCGACCCGAATGAGCTAAATAATCCGTTGTAATGCTTTGAATCGGTTGAGAAATGTGGAAGGCAATGTGCAACCTAACCACATCCATTCGTGATTTTTGTTTGGTGTAAAATGGGCAATGGTGAAAAATGGGGGAATTTGACGGCTGCAGAAAAAGAATTCCCCAAAATGCAGAGTTGGAGGTTGAACTGCTTTGAATGTGTTCCGAAATGTGGAAGGAGGGGGCCTCGAGATACGAGTTGAATTTCTTCCGTAAGCACACTCGTACCTCCGAATGCCTTTTCACATCGGAATGAATGGAAATGCCATGAATCCGTTCCCTCCCGCTCCAAAGAATTGTCACAATGTGTATTTTAAAGTGTCCTGCTTGAAAACATGTCGCGAGGACATGACCAAACACAACACATGTTGCTGAAAGGCTCGAATAACATCAACGCTGATTAGCGTTGGCTTTTAGCTCGTCGATTGAAAGGCTTTGTGTTTCTTTTAAATATACAAGGTGTCATTTTTTGGGGTTTTTAATGTTCGTTTTAGAGTAAACATCAGGTGGGATGGTCAAATACAGTTAGCGTTACATGATGTTTTTTAAAAGGGTGTTTTAAGACCTTGGAAAAAAAAGTGCTTTTAAATGCTCGAAAAACATTCTTCGACTTCTCGTGGGGGTGGTGCGGAACGTCGTCCCAGCCCATGACGGAGCTGTAGTGGATCCGCATTTCCCGATTCATTTTCATATTAATTCTGTCTTGAAAAATGCAGTAGAATAAAAAAGTTTGGGAAGCGTGAGAAAGGTTGCTTTATACGTCCAGACCGAGCTGAACAGTTTCACATGTTGACGTGCGAAATATGCCAAAGTTTGCTCTTCGATGTTTCACACGCAAATGTGAAAAAAAGAGGCTGTCTTCTTGTTCCCTGCCCAGGAAGTTGTAAAGTCCGTGGCATCGTTGATATTCCGTGACCATCCTTCCTTTTCTTTCATGTGCATCGCCCTCTGTGTGTGTGTGGGTGTGTTTTGTGTGTGATAGCAAGATAGGACACTTCTTAGAGAATTTCTGAGGAGAAATATAAGTAATGCATGACCAGGTATGAGCTCGAGAGGATGACTGAGGAAGAGGAGCAGAGGGGTGAAAAGTTGAAACAAATCAAGCGGAGAAAGAACACGGAAACATGAGCGCAAGTGACTCGGGAGGGTTTCAAGCATCGGTTCGGCAGTCCGAAGTTGGCTTCACGTACGGTTTGGTTGACAGAGTTGCCGTTTCGAGGTCGGAAACGAGGCTTCGGCTTTCGAGCCTTAGTTTGGCTTTTCAAATTAGGCTTTCGAGTCAAAGTTAGGGTTTCAAGGAACGGTTTCAGACTCGTATTAGGGTTTCAAGTTGAGGTTTCACACCTGGCTTTCAAATGACACTTTCCAGACCGGATTAGAGTAACGTGCGCACACACGCGCGCAATGTGCACACTGAAGCGACGGTATGAGTTCGACTTGAGCGCATGAGAATAAACGACTCCTCCAGACACTTGCCAGCAGCTGTCAATCAAACACACACACACACACAAGAGCTCACTGAAGCTTGCAGGCTGCCGGCAGATGGTTAAAAGAGCTCGATTTGTGCCGGTTGTGTTCATTTCTGTTCTGCACAAGGGCGGGTGCTTTGAGATGCGAGCACAATTTGTTCCGTGACTATGCTTGTCACTCAAAGTGCTCACATCTCCAAAAAAATCTTTCCTCATTGAAATGAATGGAAACGCAATTTCTAAAAACAAACAAAATCATGTTTTGTTTTCATGAGGAGAAAAGCACTCGATCATATTTGACTTGATAAAAAGCTGAAGTTCATGAGAATGGTTTTGAACGGGGCTAATTGCTTGCCGCTTCCACTGCGCATGACTCGGCCACCAGAGGGCGGTCTCACAGTTATGCAGACAAATGAAGAAGAGTTGCACCAAGGAAATGACCTGAATGGAAGGTGAGTGGAGCCCCGCCCACTGGCACTTTGATAGCCACCTGTGCGCTCCTCCATTTGGGCATTTTTTTATTTTTCAATATTTGCATTTTTGTTTTTCCCACTCATTTCGCCCCGCCTATTTTTCTGGAAGCTATTTTTTTAGGTTTAATTCCCCCCGCCTCCCCCCACCAATGGATTTGAAGGAACAATCACCATATATGTTGATTTTGGCAATTTGCCGGCGAGCACTGTCCCCATCCCTCGCAAATATCGACGGATGTGATTAATTGTTCAGCCCTACTTTCCCCTGTCAAGTAACCAATCTGAATTCATGTTCAGTTTGCTCTTGCCGTTGGGTGGTGGGGCTCTGGAATGCATTCCTGTCTTGAATTTTCGATTTAGTCGAAGATTAAAAACAAAAGCCCAGGCGCTTGTATCTCAAGGCACCATTGTGTTGCTAGCGGTTGCGCAAAGGTGTGAGCGAGTGTGCGTTTGTGTGTCTGTACTTGAGTGAGTGATTGACAGCCGGCCGGCCGGGCCCGCAGACTTCATCCATAAATTGTATTCATAAATATTCCGAAGCGGCCTTGAGGGAAGCCAAATATACGGGTCAGTGCACCTTCTCCCACATGTTAATAAAGCCAGTCAGTGTATAAATCTAAATCCAAATATAAATATGAGTAGAAATATAGAAGTGTGTGTGTGTGCGTGCTTGAAATTGAAGTCGTAAAGCAGCCAAAAGCTTTTAGATGTGACAGCCTGCTTCTCGACTTGCTGTCAACAAACGTGACAAATGAATTTTACAGCTAAACACTTTCGCTTCTTACTTTTGATCAAACCTTTCTTCTTTTTTGTTGTTTTATTTTTCATTTTTGCTGCTTTCACTTCACATTAGCGTCACCTAACGTTGAGCCTGTGGCAGCCTGGCCTCGGACGGACAACTCGGCCAGTGGGAAAGATCACCATTGGTTTTTTTTTTTATCGGCGTGAGGAGAACTTGCGATGAATACGGCCCAAGATTAACGACGACAAATGAATGAAGCGTTCCGAAGAGCGCCCGTAGCTCCTCATCATTTTGTTGTTGTTGATGATGTTTTTGTTCCGTTTCACAGCGCCGCCCACCCCCATCGCTCCACCTGAGCTCCTGGCCGTGGGCGCCACCTACCTGTGGATCAAGCCCAACGCCAACAGCATCATCGGCGACGGGCCCATCATCTTGAAGGAGGTGGAGTACCGCACCACCTCGGGAAATTGGGCCGAGACCCACGTGGTGGACGCGCCCACCTACAAACTGTGGCACTTGGACCCCGATGTGGAGTATGAGATCAAGGTGCTGCTGTCCAGACCCGGAGAAGGGGGCACGGGACCCCCGGGACCGCCGCTGGTCACCAGAACCAAATGCGCCGGTATGTTATTCACTTCTCATCGAAATTGCGGATTTCCTGTCCGTCGTGAGACTTTTTTGCGGCTTGAATTATCATCGAAACGTCCGCCAAATTTCAGTCGGAGTCAAACCGGCTCCCGGGCTGCGTTTTCTTTTCGATCCAGTTGGTTGCAACTGAGCCTTTTGAGCCAAAAATGTCTGCTTCAAACCAAAATGGCCGCCTTCCTGGGTGTTGTGGGGCCTTAAGTCTATTTTGGGAGTGTACTTACGATAACCACGGATCAAATTTCATGTTGCTGAGTCAAACTGGTTTCAGGGGCTGCGTTAAAAAAAAAAATCTATTTTGGCTGTAAATATTGCAGATTGTCGGTGGGCTCGGAACAGTAAACAAGATTTGACTGCTGTCATTTTTCCCGTGGTCTCTGCACGGAGTGGTTCCGATTTCCTTGAGTGTCTTTTAGGAGCGCGTGAACGCAAACGCGATGAATGAGGAGCGTTGAATCCAAACGGCGTCCGCCGGGGAAACGCGGCAGCGGCGGTGGAAATCAATCTTGCTCCCTCCCCGCCCCCCGCCATCCTCCTTGTCCTCTTTTGCCGCTCCTTTCGCCTCCCTGGTTACTTGAAATTGTTGTTCAACTCGAGTCGCCATTAAGCAACTCAATACTTAATTGACCCAATTTATGCTGAACCTTGTAAATGTGTCTGTCTTCTCAAAAAAAAAAAAGCATAGTCGGGATTTTTGGGAGGGGGGAATTCAGAAGCGATGAGAAGCCAAATTAAGTGCGAGAAGAGAAAGGCGGCCAATGAGGAGGCAACTGAGGGTTGAGGTTGGCGAGGTTAAGCACTTGAAGGCGCCGTCTAATTGGCTGACAAAGGAAGAGTGACGGGCCCCCCCGGCTCACCCCCCACCCGGAGGGAGGTGACGGCAAATGTCAGGGAAAACGTCGCAATCGGCCTCGTTAGGCTAATGTCCTTCGGCCAATTAGAGCCTCCCGGGTCCCATCGCAAGGAGAGAGAAACAGAATTATTTTTTTTTTCTGAACTCCCGCTGGCTCGTCTAAAACGTTTCAAAAAAAAAAAAAAAAAGCCGTAAAAAGCAAATGGATTGATGAAAGCCGTAGGACGGATGCGTCGTAAAGTCACATCAAAATGTCTTTTTACAAGCGCACTCTCGTCAATCTTTACTGCCGCGGCCCGTCCGACTTTTCATCTTGTTTTTAGGACGATGGTTGGTTTAGATTAGCGAAGGTATCCGCAGAGCGGTTGCCAATCAATGTCAGGACGCGCACAGACCACGGTTGTTTTTGCGAAGCAAAACTACCCAAAAATTAAATATTGAAAAAAATATTTCACTCGTGACATAAAAAATGAAAATGCTTTAAAAAATGAAAACTAAGTGGATAATAAAACAAACTACATTTATTGCAACCCCCCCCCCCCCAAACTAAACTAAAACTCATCCCAAAACTAATAAAAAGTAAATAAGAATGAAGCGCTTTTGGACCAAATAAAAATGAATGAAAACAAACAAACCTTCGCTAAAAATGAACCGATTTCAAGAAACAAGTCAAAACAAAGTCAAAACTAAAGATAATGAAAAAATGCCAAACTCTTCCAACCACAGATAAAGGCAAACAACAAAACACGACATGTAACACTCAAAAGGTATGACTGATCCTGGTGCCAAGTACCCGTGATGCAGTGATGAAGAAAACGTTTGAGAGGCGGCGGCGTCACGAAGCCACTCTGCGCAAGCTCCCAAATAATCTCAATAATAATCCCGTCAGCAGCTTTTGGAAAGCCGACCTTGCAAATCTGGCAGCAGGCTCAAAAGGCTGCCGTTTTTTTTTTTTTTTTTTCCGCCGCGGAGGTTTGACGACTGTTGACGCAAAGCCACTCAAGCTGGCGTCGACACGACGGTGCTATTTTAACGAGACTCCTGAAAAAAAAAAACCAAGAGTATGCCGAGAGTTATGTTATGGCGGCACATTTCATATTTGGCGTCTTCGTACCGTATTAATGAAGCCGTTAAGAAAACAGGACTTCTTTTTGCACGTTTAAAATGTTTTTTGTTTTTTTTTTAATGTGAGGAAGGCAGCTTTTCATGACTAAAGTACATGTCAGATAAAATAGCAGAATACTTAACCATGGACCTTTTCTATCTCATTCAAGTCATTCCTGATTGAAAATTTTGCAGAGATGCGGAGGGAAAAAAAAAATCTTGGCAGAGTGGTCAAAAGATGAAAGATGTTTGATCATTTGAGCCCCCGGGGAGAACTCCAAATATTGATGATGTAATATTCCAACAGCAAGAAGCTGTTGTTTTTTTGTCCTGGGCCAGCGGGCCGCTTTGAATGTCGAACCCTGTCAAAAGACAAGAGCCGAACAGATTTCATGACGTCTGGAAGCTGCCAAAGTTTGAAGGTCAACGCATGGGGGGGGGACAAACATTCCTACTCTGAAATTTGCGCGTCACGCTGCTCACATTACAGGTTGAGGAGAAGCGGCACGATCTTTTTTTGTCCTCAGCGACTGTTTCTTGTGTTACGTCTTGTGTCGTGTGTTGTGTGCGTGGCCTTCCCCCGCCCCCCCGCGCACTGGCGCGCGTGCGCACTTTCCACTGCGTCTCTTTCCCCTGCAGCTCTTGGTGCTCGTTAGACAAAGAACAGAGGGGTCACTCAAGTCTCCTAATGAGCTCGCCGCGCGCACACGCAACGCGGTCCGCCCCTTAGAACACGCGCGCGCCGCAGACGCACTCGAGGGTGCGTTCGGTGAGCTCCGTTCACCTCGCTTGCATCCCTAAGTGTGTCTGTGTTCAGTATAGAAAACGTTTCTGGGTTTTTTTTTTTTGTTTGTTTCCCCCCAACGTTGTTGGTTATTCTACCAAGATCTCGAACGTTCTGCTGCGTTTTCCAAAGTTGTCCGACATCATCCAAAATCCTCATCCAAATCTCCCGTTTGCCGACCTTCTCTCAAGAGTCTCTAAAATTCTACAAGCTTGGCCAACGTCCCACAATGTGGAGAACACGATCCATTCGAAGCATTCAATATCTTTGCAGTGGAGCCAATTCAACGTCGGATTTGCAAATCATTGGATTCTGTTTTCAACTCGATTGGAATTGGCTTTGTAAATGAGTTCCGATTTACAAGATGGAGAGGTCGAGAAAAGAAGACTTGAGCGCGAGCGGCAAACAAGGTCAATAACCCGACGGAGGGAGGCGTGGCAATAAGGCGCTCCTTAAACGCACGGCTAACTGATGAAACGTTGGCAGCAGGCGCGCACGCTGGAGGGAAGGCCCTCCTCTGCCACCTGCTGGAGACACACAAGAAGCGACTCGTGAGACCGGCTGCTTTCGTGGAGGACTTGGACAATATCAAGTTGAACAAGGTCTCCAAACCATTAAGCACAAATAATGATCGATGACTATGATTCGATTCATCGTTGCACCTGGAATGGCATCCAAATTGTTCATACGTCCCCCATGATCCCCCATCATTTCCAATGTCACGCAACGGTCCGAATGGGAAAGATTTCCCAACAACTTTCTGCGACGTGGAAAATTTCCAACATCGGTCAACATTTGCCCCAAACTTGTGCGACGTTCAGCAACGGCGAACTATCCCGACCTCTTCCCCCGTTCTCCAACGTTGCTTCACGTCATTTGATGACGTTCGCGTCGAGATGTTTTGTTGTCTTCTCGAGAAAAACGGACAAAGCCGCAACCCCGAGGAAGCCGACGGATCTTTTGGAGGCTCCTTTGAATGTGTGTTTTTTTTGTCCGCGGGCGCCGGCTGACGTTCCCTTCGCGCCTCATTGCTCGTCTCTTGACTCCTCTTCTCCATGCGAACATCCCGCCATCATCGGCCCTCCCCACCCCTCCGGTCGCCCTCCCCCTTTGCTCCCCCGTGGATACTAACTTCAGCGAAACTAGCTCGTTGCCCGGGTAACAAATCTGCCCCAACAGGCCAATTATGAAAGCAGACCAATTAAAGCCCAACCTGTGTGCTCTTTAATGCCTTTCATGCTGTCAGCCCGTTGGCTACCGCGCGCGCACACACACACACACACACACACACACACACACACACACACACACACACAAACACCACACACACACACACACGAGCCCTCTATATGAGCCATCAAAGACTGAAGATGATTTTTCATATTTTATCCTCAAATAAGTTGCTCAGAGACACACACACACACACACACACACACACACACACACACACACACGCCTTTGGGCACATACAAACATGCTCACCCGCACGTGTATGTATCTGCACACTTTGTCCTCAAATAAATTGCTCAGATACACACACACACACACACACACATAAATGCAAAAGCACACACACGCACACATTCATGAAGGTATGGACACTACATAGGAAGCATATGAAATTCGAATGTTTTCTGATTATTATTTTTTTTACATTTTGTCCTCAAATAAATGAATCCAACACGTTCAAACATTGCCATGCACACACACACGCACACAACCGTGCGCGCGCACACGCAGGCCGCGTCTGTTATCGCAAGGCCATCAGGCGATCCGATTTCTCCCTCATGAATGGTGCGCGCAAGGGCCGCCCGTCGGCGGCCCCGTCCGGCGCTAACACACGCGCATACGCGCGCGTCCCGCGCTCGTACGCGCGCCCACACTCGCGGGTCCAAATAACCCCTTATCTCGCCGCAGACGGCAGACATCAATGGTGTGTAACTACAAAGGCGCGGCACGAATAGAAAGACGCACTCCAACGAGACGCCGATAAAGGAAAACCGAGAGAAATAACAGGACCTTGGTCAACTCTGAGTGTCGGCGCGTATGTGTGTGCGCCTGTGTGCGTATGAGGTGGAGCTGTTGGTGTTCGCTTGCAAGAAGACAAACGCAAGAGCACAAAAAGACTTGGAAGCTGCGATTGGATTTTGACCACTGCAGTTAGTTGGCGAGTTGACACGACTTTCCAAGGTTGACCTCAACGCCCTTCGGCAGACGACACCTTACTCGGGTTCGGTTTTGGAAGGCAAAATCGTCTTAGTCCGTCCAATTGTCTGCTCACCCAGCCCTCCGGCCGTGCATCTGTCATCCAACCACCCGAATGTTCATCCATCCATCCAGTCAAAGGTTTCAAAGGTGCCCAATGCAGGCTTCGTTGAGCACCTGGGGATGGTTATCCTGCAACCAACCGAAGGGCTCATTTCAAGAAGTTAATCTGGGTTTGCGCGGCAATCTCCCGTTGGGCTGCGAGCAGTCAGATTATCCGTCCAGATTAGCCGCTCTCCGTCCATTGCCGGATGGATTATAAAATGGCGGCCGTTCATCTGAGCGGCCGAGCGACTTGGGGCGCATCGCAGGTTTTTTAGGGGCCTAATCTTGCTCAAATCTGATTATTTGTCTGCGTCTCCCGCGGGATTGAGCGATGGCGGCACAACAAGCTGCTGTGTGTGAGCGAGTCCTTTTGTTCTTAGACTTCATGAAGCAGCGTGAGGCTCATTAGCCCCTATGATTTCAAATGCCCTCTTCCAAATGGACATTTGTGTGTTTGCGATCAAGAGGGTGCTCTGTTCTTTGCACGAGGGCGGCAGTTCCAAAATCATCTCGCCGAGGAACCCGAAGGACACCTCTTGGTGGGTTTCCAACTGTTGCTGTTTGTATATTTGTGATTAGACTGGGATTGGTGTTTGGTCTGACACCCGCGTTTTCCCGCATTGAGTGAGTTTGCTCAGTTTTGTTTTTTTTTTTTTTTTTTAGCTTACAGGCAAAGACAACTCTGGATGTTTGGCAGCCAACAATTGTTTGTTTGTGTTCAAAATGTTTCGTCACGAGACCTTGTGTGCTGCTCAGAGTTGAATCATTAAGACTTTTCTTGATCAATTGTTCCTTTTCACTTTGTTTTGACTGTTTTTTATAATTCACTTAGGCTTACTTATTTTATTATATATTTTTTCATTGCTTTTTTTTTTTAGTTCAGTTATCGTTTTTTTTTTTAAATTAGTTTTAATGAATGGGTATTTGTCTCAGTCCAAAAAAACCCAAACCACCTGGAAAAAAAAAAACTATGAATGAGTTGAACAACCATCCACAAATCAAATACAAATATTGTATCACCACAAAAGTTGAAGGACAGAATACCGCTTCGAAAGGTTTTGATTCGATGCATCACAGCGGTCAGTCAAAAATATTCGTGAGACGCAGGCTGTGGTGCGGCCATTTTTTCTCTTATAAAAAATGTTTTGATGTTTAACTTCATAATGACATAAATACAATACATCTTTCGCCAAATGACCAAGAGTAGATGAGTTGGATCCAGTCAGTAGATTACTTGACGGGATTGTTTCCTTTAAATCAAAACGTCGATTCCTTCAAGCCCGACAGGCTTTGTGGAGGGAGGGGGTGGGGGGCATGGTCCTCAAACAGGCCACGCGATGCCTCCAAAATTGCCGACCACCACCGCCTAAGGGAAACAACCATTCAAACATCCTGACACACACACACACACACACACATACCCACACACACACACACACACACACACACACACACACACACACACCCTCCCACACACACACACACACACACACACACACACACACACACACACACACACATTTTTCTAAGTCACTGTAATTGTAAAAGATTGCACTGAAATGCGGCTCTGTCTATTTCCTGTGTGGAATGGAATTAGAACCTCATTGCAGGTTAGCTCGAAAGACTTTTCAGTTGTGGACCAAAACATTTGCTTTGACTCGTTCATTAATTTGTTCATTCATTAACTTGGCCAATTGTGTGCGTGTGTGCCTCTGAGCTGTCCAATTTCTATCCCCTTGTCCTGTTTTTGTAAAGTATTGACCGTCTCTTCCAGATCCCGTCCACGGTCCGCAGAATGTCAAGGTGGTGGACGTCCGCGCGCGACTCTTGACGATCCAGTGGGAAACGTTCGGTTACGCCGTCACGCGATGCCACAGCTACAATCTCACGGTACCACGCCGGCCGCAGCCATTTTCCTCTCCCTTTTCCCCTTTGGCATGCGTCCCAATACTTTTGTCCAAAGTTCAGGAGGCGTTTTTTTTTTTTTTTTTTTAACACGCGCTCCGTCTCCCCCTGCAGGTGCAGTACCAGTACGCGTTCAATCAGCAGGAGTTTGCGTCCGAGGAGCTGATCCAGACGTCTTCTCGCTACACCCTGAGGGACCTGCGGCCGTCCGTCACCGTGAGACTGCGACTGGTCCTGGCCAACGCCGAGGGCAGCAAGGAGAGCGAGGAGATCGTCAAGCAGACGGAGGAAGACGGTGAGACGGCGCTAAAACGCCACCGCGGACAACGTGAACACCATCTTGCTTCCGATATCGTTGATTTATTGTTCAGATTTATTTGGATTTTCTTCAACTTTCACATCCCCTTTGTGTCCATGTACGTTTTGTCTTCCCGCTGGAGGCTCAATACTTTTGTCCGTGCTCCAAGCTCCGACGAGCGGCTTGATAAAAATAATCAAAACAAACAACCGCCAAAGAAAATCAATCATGTAACAAATGGCGGGCACATGTTTTTCATGATCCGCGGCAGATGTAATCTGGGCCGCTGCTAGCGTAGTTTAGCATCATTCCCCGCAAGAATCATTGCCGACATGACCAAAGATTGCGCTGGACCATGCCGATTACTGCCTCATGTCATCGCTAATGAGATACACCGTGTGGAATGATTGGGGGGAAAAACAATTATATGTATTTTTTCAGAATTATTATTTGGTCACAAAAACACAAAGAAATGATTCAATATAGGAGCAGGAAATATGAGGAAATGTCTATTCTTGAAAAAAAAAATCAAATAAAAAATACAGTTGTTAAATGCCCATCAAAACTCAGACGCGATGAAAACAAATGAACAGCAAACATTTTGTGTTGATCACTAAATACAATCAAATTCCTCATTAAAATCCATCCATCCATCCATCCATTGCCTGATCCGCTTTATGCTCACGAGGGTCGCGGCGGGTGCCGAAGCCCATCTCAGCCGTCTTCGGGCAGGAGGCGGGGGACACCCTGAACCGGTTGCCAGCCAGTCGCAGGGCGCACAGAGACCAACAACCATCCGCGCTCACACTCACACTCACACCCTCGGGACAATTTGGAGTGTTCAATCCGCCTGCCATGCGTGTTTTTGGAATGTGGGAGGAAACCGGAATACCCGGAGAAAACCCACGCAGGCCCGGGGAGAACACGCAAACTCCACACAGGGAGGCCGGAGCTGGAATCGAATTGAAAAATACCTCTGCACTGTGAGGTCGACGCCCTAACCACTGGACCACCGGGCCGCACAAGTTAAAAATAAATAAATAAACAATTCTTCAAATGAATAATATCAAATGTCAAAGCGAAAAATAATTAAACTACAGTGTGAAAGAATAAATTCAAAAGTAATTCACTTTAAATACTATCAAAGAAATGCATGATGTTTCATTTTATGAAACTACCAAATGAAATTGTAAAAGACATACTCAGTACATTCAGAAATATTAACTTCCATGACTAAAACTAGATTGGAATCACACGATGCTCGTTAAAAAAAAAAAATCTATATATCACATGAATGCAGCATTTGGAACGGGGAGAGGAGAAGTGGCAGTCAGTCAGGCCAAATTACAGATTGGTCATAATAAATCACAATGAAATAAATCATCAAAATGTTGCTCGTTAATATCGGTAACGTGAAATAAAAATGAACCCAACGGAATAAAGGGTTGTATAAAATGACCAAATAAACGCAACTGAATGAATAATAAATGCATTCATTTAAAAAAAAAATGTTTTTTTGATCATTTCGATGCAACTCACACAAACGTTAACGATCCACCTCTGATGCTCCAGAAATGCATTTTGGGGTTGTGAAGGCACAACAGCGTTCGGATTCACGCTAAGCGCCAAAGACGCCGGAAAAGTAGGTTGAGCCGAGGATCAAACGCAAAATGTTGGAAGAAGACGAGAGGAAGATGCTCGCAAAAGGACGAATCGACTCGATTTTCATCGAGCTCCGATTTTACAAGCCGTCATCGCCCATCTGCACATGAAGGAGACGTGACGCGCGCTCGTCTCCCGTCGGCTGCTGGTGTTTTGCGGCCGCGAGAGAAACCAAAGCGCACGCCCGCTAAAAAGACAATTTCAATCAACCAAAAAGTAGGACTTGATAAGAATTTCTAAAAAAAAAAAAGAAAAGCAGGTGCTTGATTGCCAGCTGGAAGTTAATCAAATTTGGGTCTGCATGTTACATGCGCACACGCATGCACACGCACACACACACACACACACACACACACACACACACACACACACACACACACACACACACACACGGTGAATGATAAGGTGGCGAACGTAAAGGACAGAATGTAATTGGGTTTCTTTGTGCGACTGATTTGATTTGCGGGGCGGCCTCATCAACACATTTTAATTACCAAATGAAAATGGTGTTTGTAGCGCTTTGCCGGCTATTTGTTAACGCGTCCGTCTCTGGGAAAAACATTCTTCATTACATGGCGAAGGTGTCGCCGCAGCGCCGCTTGATGGATCGCACTCATTACGGCCTTTAAAACGCTTTGAATCGCCTACAAATTTGATTTTGCTTTGCCCCCCCCCCCCCCAAAAAAAAACAAAAAACAACAAATCGAAACGTGTTCCAACCAAATGATGTTCTTGGACTTGATTGTCGAACTCGGCATCCTGTGTCCTTGCTCGGTAGGAGACTAGTTAGGTCGGAAATAGGAAGGAGGCTACGCAGGTGGGAAATCAGAGCAGATATGTCAGCACCTTGGTGGGTAGGAAATCGGTACCAAGGATGTAGCGCAACATAGTGGAAGGAGTCACGCAGCCTTGATGATTGTGTGCTTGTGTGCTTGCTCTTGCCAGGACTCCCCCCCACCAAAACACTCTTGTTGCTAGGCAGATTTCGTTCCGGTGCCCTGACGGTTTTGTGCGTGTGTGCGCAGTGCCCGGCTCCGTGCCCAAGGAGTCCCTGCAGGACACGCCCTACGAGGACAAGATCTTCCTGCAGTGGAAAGCGCCCAACGAGACCAACGGAGTCATCACCCAATACGAGGTGAGTCCAAAGTCCAAACCCAAACCAGCTAGCTCGTCCCTTTGATTTTTTTCGCCGTGATGACATGAGAGGTCGTGACGGAGGAATCGACGTGGCCTCCGTTGACGTGTGCAGCGGAGCCGCGTCCGTCGTGGGTTTCAGGTTCGCAGTCCCGCTATTTCGCAGATTTTTTGGGGGGCGCACTTAATTCCACTGTCAATCACTCGATTTATTTAATTTGGGACGGTGTAAATTTGAAACATTTCAGCACAGCCTCGTTTCTTGGAAGGCCTCTGCTGTGATCCTGCTTTTTACGCCTCCAGAAAACAACAGCAAAGGGTTCATTTTGTCACGCTTTGGCACACAGTTGGGCGCCAAGAAATGTTGGACAGTTCTCAGGTATTTTGAGGTCGCTGAATCTGAAGGTGACGTTGTTTGTTTGGTTTTTTTTTTTTGCCTGAATTGGCTTTAGCTTTGGAGATATTTGCAAAGGTATTTATGGCACCGGTATTCTCTGTGCGCGCCAACTTTGACCAGTCCGTATTTGTCTTTTCGAGCACATCCGTCCGTCCAGCATTCCTTCATTTTTGATACAATAGGCCGGTCGCACTGTTGCCCAGCACAGAGCCTCCACAAACAAAGAACCGCATGCTGCTTCAGCGAGGCTTTACGGGCCCATTGCGCTCCTTTTCCAACGTGGTCCGTCTTTGCCTCTTTTGCACACGCTCGGCTTGTTTCTCCAGCAACTCCGTCCTTCTCGCGCCGCCTCCTCCGGCCGCTTCACCTCCGCTGGCGTCTCAAACAGCGGCCTTTCTTTGGTTTTTACCTGGCTTTCATTAATGCGCGGCCACGCGCGATCTATTAAGCCCGCCGTCATCTACTAAACATATCACAGGCCCGGCACAATGCTCCCCATTAGAGATAATGACGATAATTGCGCCTATTGTGGGATTAAAGGCATCATCTGCTACATCTGAAGGCCTCTGTTGTCTCTTGTGTCTTCTCTTTTTAACCCGCCTTTGCTTTGGAGGACCACAACCCCCTCGTCCTCGGACAATGGGCGGGGGGGAATCGCGGGGGTGGGAGAAAGGGTGCAGGTGGAGAGCCAACGGCGAGGAGAGATAAGCCGGCGTTAGAAGTAGAAGCGCTCGCCATGATACGCCAATGCAAATCCGTCGCCTCTCTCCAATGCGTTGAGATAATTGCGGCTAATTGCGGGATTAAAGTGAGCGCGTCAGGCGGCGAGACGGAGGGGGCGGGGCCTTCTCCCGGGCTGTCTAGTTCACCGCCAAAGTGCCTGCCGTATTTCTGCCCGGAAATGTGATCGTTGACGGCAAAAAGGATTTGTTTTGGTGCAAAAATGCTGCACTTGCTCACCAAAGCGCTCTTTCGGCACCTCATCCGTGTGACCTTTGTCGGACACCCGCGGCTAATAATCCGGAGCGGCCGCTATACGCGCACGTTTGCTTTTTATGAGTTACGTTGTGTGGTCGCATCTTTTAACGAGGCGTGCGTTGTCGTCCGGAAATGACGCTAATTTCAAACCCAAAACACCGTCTGCCTTCTCGTTTAAATGCAATCCACAAAAATGCTCAACTGACCGCAAAAAGGTTCATTTCATCGCAGCAACGGCATTCCCCAAAGCGCGGAATATTGTCACAAAAGTCATCCCGGTGGTCACGTAAACGCACTATTTTGCCATCAGGAGACCCTCTTTGCTCACAAAAGGCTCCGGTTGAGGCTCGAAGGGAGAAGTGTGATGAGCCATAAGGCTGCATGACAAGAAGCAGAAGACAGGAAAGCTACCTGAATGCAAATCCGTCTTGAGATCATGATGGCTAATTATGGGATAAAAGCGAGCCAGCCAGCGCCACAATGAAAAGGGCACAGATGAGAGCAAAAAGCAACAAAGACAGAACGGAGACGAGAGTTTCGAGGGCAAACGGTCGAATACTGCACCGGACCCTCGCGTCGTGTCGTTCACCGCAAAAGTCGCACTTTGGTCAACAAAAACTTCACAGTTGACCACAAGTTGCATTTTGTTTCAACGAGGTCGTTTGGCTCACCAAACAGCTGCGGGAGGCTTGCGTTGCGCCTTCACAACGCTTTGTTGGGGACGTGGTTGCTCGTCGTGAGCTTTGCCGTTCCAATCATGCCTTCTCGTTCCCTTTTGTGTGCAATATTTGCTCACAAAAAGGCTTCGCGAGGCGACGGAAAGGTTTCATGCTTTACCATTGCAATGAACATTAGACACCATTCGCTCATTTAAAAAAGAAAGCAATGCTCCGTGACAAAATGTTTTGCCATGACCAACAACAACGTAAAAATGGAAGTTGCACATCATATCAAGTTTCACTTGTAAAGTGTGGAGGAAGACGCTATAATGCCCCCAAAATCCGAAATACTTTGACAATTTTCTTGGTGCTAGCGACGTTTATTAATGAGCCTCATTTCTCCGGCTACATTACACACGTTACTTTTTTAAAGTACACGCAAATGACACCGGCACGCCGATCTCCTGGGCAGCGCAGTTGGTGAAGCATTTGGCCATCTCTGCGCGCTTTGTGAATTTGACGCCGTTTGCTCCCCTTTTGCCGATGGGCGCCGCCGCGCAGTCCTTTAGTGAATCGCTATCAACGTGCACCGATCACATCATGACCTCGTCAATCTCTTTTGTCATACCCCACGACCAACGCACCTGAACCCCCACCCCCCTCGATATTATTCTTGGATCCCCGCCACGCATCAGCCAATGGTGAAGCTGCGCCGGCCCACCCGCGAGCTCACCAAGAGTCTGGTGGCTTCACTTTGCTTGATGTGAAACGTCCCGCATCGATCTCCCCTTTGTGCTGTTGATTTGTTGTGGACGCGGCTCCCCCAAATAAGAGCGGGAGAGGAGAGGAGGCCGAAAGGGGGCCCCGCTGTGAGTCGCAGCGAGCGGTCAACACGCAACGACGGCAAACGTCAATGAAAGTCGGTGACAAAGAGCAAGCAAATCATGCGAGAGCCTCTAATTGGCGGCTGGCAAAATGTCACGTGAAGCGCAAGAAAGGCTGTCCAACCATCAATAAAAAAAGGAGTTTTAAAACGCAGTTGATAGTGAACGGCGCCGAGAGGAGCAACAGAACGCGACTGAACAAACCGATGTCGTCCATACGCTTTTCTGCGCTCGCATCCATCGGCGCATGTCACCAATTGAGACGATGCGTAGAAATGTCGGCTTGAGCGGCGGCGAGAATTGTCAACATCGTACGTAGCGGCAACGAGGAAAAGATTGGCAACGTTTTCTGGTCATTTGTTGCCTTTGAAATGATTCAGTATTTGGGGATTTCAATGGATGTGATTTTCACCACGGCGAATCAGTGTGTTCTTGACCTCCTGCCTATTGAACGGTCCTTCTGGCTCTTTGTCGTAAAAATGACCAATGACTGTATTGAGTCCTTGCAGTTTTTTTCCACACTCTAAGGTGCATCTTCAACGAATGGCCTATTTTAAAACGGTTTTCATATATAGGGCGCACCGCATTCGAAGGCACGTAGAATAGAAGCTGCACTTGTGGCTGCAGTGCGGTATGCGTCCACCAGATGGAGATACGCTCAAGGGAATACAATAAAATACAGCTTGATTCAGATCGAGGTTCCATAACCGCTGCAGCTGTAACAAAGCGCTTTACAGAACAATTTCAAATATTACAAGCAAGAAATCGGAATATTGATCCATATATAAGGCGCCTCGGATTAGAAGGCGTAATGTCAGCGTTTGAGAAAATCGAACGCTTTTAGGTGCGGAAAATACAGTACATCACCCGGCATCGAGAACGATCAACACTTAAATGCAGCAGACAAAATAGATACATTTCAAATTAAATCTGAATTAGACATGTATCAATAAATAGTCTTCATAAAGGTGGCGCATGAATACATCTGGACTCTGAAAAGGAATTGGGAAGCTAGCAAGAATAGTCAGTAGCATATAT